AGGATTTAAACACCTGGGATAAATTATTACCATATGCGCTATTCGTTTATAATTCAACAGAACACTCATCCACAAATTATCAGCCATATACCTTGTTGTATGGAAAAGAAATAAATATTCCAGTAAATTTGAAAAGTAACCCCGAACCTAGATACAATTACGATGATTACCTGTATGATTTGAAACTAAGAATGCAGGAATCTCATAAAATCGCTAGGGAAAGATTAATCAAAAAGAAAATCAAATCAAAAGCTAATTATGATAGTAATGCACATAGTGTAGAGTTGCATGTAAAAGACTATATATTGTTAAGGGATAATACCCAAAGAAATAAATTGACACCGTTATGGAAAGGGCCTTTCGAAATTTTAGAAGTGTTAGACACTGAAAATATTGTTATCCAAAGGGGAAGAAGAAAGGTTACCGTACACAAAAATGACGTGAACAAGTATCATGAAAATCCAGATTAAGAAATTGTTAAACCATATATATATACAAATACGAAAATCTAATTAGTCATTTCCCTGGTTAACAAAGAAAATTATTTTACAGTTTTAACAAAGTACATTTGAAGTTTGGTTTGGAGCATGGTTACTCGACCTTTAGTAAAACGGTAACCATGTGACATAAAAATGGAAAATACTAATTTTGTTTTAATAGTAAAATAATATTACCGAAATTATGCCAGTAAAGTAAATACTGATTTTTAACAATAATGTAAAGATAAATTTAAACACGCACTTATTAAAATATACTGGTCTGTAATTCCATTGGAGATTATGAAATAATTGTAATCATTAAAAATATATTATATATAACATGTAACTTAACATTAAAATATTATTGAATCCAATGCTATAGTAATATAGTATGTTATTGTATTAGTTATTAAGGTATAATGTGTTAACCAAAAATTTTAATTACTATGTTATTATGTTTAAAAATCAAATGAAAAAAAATATTATATTATATTAAATATTATTATGTAATGAAACTGTTATGATATATATATATATAAAAAAAAATGTTATGATATGTTATATTGTTATATTGTTATATTGTTAAAGAAATATTGTTATGTTTTGTGATGAAATTTATGTATTGTAAAAGAAATTATGTAAAATGAAAATCATTATGTCATGAAAAGAAATTATGTAAAATTGTCTTAATGACAATTATTAACAATTTATGTACTATGTATTTATATCCATGTTTTATGTAAAATTCTTTTAAAGATTTTTGTAGTTCTACAAATTGTAGCCCTACAAAAACCTTTGAAAGGGCAGGGAGGTGTAACGGGCTGTGACTACGTACATATTATAATAGTAATAATATATAAAATATTATATTATATTATGCTGTATTAAGTATAATGCGCTTATAATATAATATATTATTTTCAATAACAGATATAAATGCGGCAGAGGGCACGTAACCCAATAATAGTAATAATATAAACGTCCGGGCGGCCATATCGATAAGAGTATAGAACGCGCGTATTATCCATATTCTGGGAAACACAAAAAAGCCGTAAACAACAAAATAGATAACTTTGAAACATATAATCCCAATTAACATTATTTCGTAGAGGACGCCCGAAATGACGTCAGGTATACGCAGCTATGTACCATTTTATATACTAAAAATGCTATAGGAGGGATATAATAGGAAAACCGACGAAATACGTCGATGGACAAGTGTCCATCAGACGAACACCAGCCAAGACAACGAGCACTATAGCAGGACAGCCACAAAGTCAATACTAAGTCACAACCCGTTTACCACTATTTTATAATTTAATTATTTGGACTTAGAATATTTTCGTGTTAAATAAATACAAATAAACTATCATTATACCAACAACTTGTCATTTTCATTCAAAATACCATCAATATTGAGTTGAAGTAGTTGGCACGTTACAGTTCTCTCTGGATGCGGATTTTCTTATTGTATTTGTATCAAATGTCAAACATGCATTTCACCTGGCTGCGACTAGCACACTAGGTGGTAAATTATTTTGAATTATTTATGTAATCTAAAAATATATCAGCAGATATTTGTATGCATTTGTATTATTTCAGAAACATTATACTAGAAAAGACTTCATCAATGCACGTGTAACAGCAACAGAATCATTATTGTACTGCTACTAAGACATAGGGGAAATTCGACAACCTCTACGTGCTTCTCTCTTGATGCGGATTTTCTTATTGTATTTGTATCAAATGTCAAACATGCATTTCACCTGGCTGCGACTAGCACACTAGGTGGTAAATTATTTAGAATTATTTATGTAATCTAAAAATATATCAGCAGATAATTGTATGCATTTGTATTATTTCAGAAACATTATACTACAAAAGACTTCATCAATGCACGTGTAACAGCAACAGGATCATTATTGTACTGCTACTAAGACATAGGGGAAATTCGACAACCTCTATGTGCAAAAATGCATTTAAACTGGCTGCGACTCGCACACTATGTGGTAAATTATTTAGAATTATGTATGTACTCTCAAAATATATCAGTAAATAATTGTATGCATTTTTATTATTTCAGAAACATTATACTAGAAAAGACTTCATCAATGCAGATGTAACAGAAACACAACAAAAAGAATCATCATTGCATCAATAATGATTACTAATTTGTAACTAAACCACAGTCCGTTAATCATAAGAGTTCCAACACCTAACACTTAATTATTATTCATTGTTAATTTGTAACCGATGTAGCACATGCATATATATATATATGTGTGTATACTTTGCCCGTAACATATATACCTACTTTTAAATTGATTAATAGTAAGTTTCATACACAAATTATTATAATTTCAAAAGCATATATCTAATATGACCCAGGTTTGTAAGAGATTTTCAATTTTGTTGTATGTATAATATGTTTGATTTCTACGTATTGCAGTCGACGCACGAATCAACTTAATTTTTTTAAACATCATTAAACTACGCTATATTGTATGTTTGAATTTGTATTGCTTACCAATGCTTTTCGTATGTAATAAACATAATGAGGTATGATTAGACATTTTGCCACCGCAAATAATTTTCATTGTAAAAATATTATGCAAAATATACTGATTAGTAGTACCTAATTGATTATATATTATTTGTAATGTAAAAAATATAACTAATAAAGAAATAATCCAAGTTCATATATATTTATTATTTGTATTACTATTATACATTACTACTCACTTATATTAAACCTAAAATTGTAAAAGATTGTGATTGATAGTATTAAAAACACTTTTAAAAACCAAAAACTATAAGCATGTGCACAACACACATATATACAACATGATACATTTAACCGATGTTTTATAGGCTACACATATATTCATTTAACTGTACCAAATACTTAATAACGTTATGATAGGTACGCCACACCTACATTAATTATATAGACATACAATTAATTTAGAGCATTTAATTAGCTTTATGGAATGTTTTAATTTCATTTGGTATGCACAGGTCGTTCGCAACCAGACACCTATATACCTGGGAAGTATGATTGCCTTTAAATTGACTACTTAACATTTTTATTCAATTGACATTTGGCTTTAACATTTTCTCCTACAATAATACGATATCAGACTATCGACGTTAGGAGGTATGCCCAGTAAACGCACAAATTTGTACCGGTTGAGGACTGAAAGCTAGACACACAATTACCGTTTTCTTTATGCATTTATCCTTTTTGCACTCACAAAAGAACAGGGCATGCGACGGATCATGTATCCAATTCGCCATACACAGATGCTCTATAACTCATGGATTTGCATACAACGATGATTGATAGATAGACATTCGATTACGACTAGACACTTTCCCGAGTTCAAAAATTACCGCTTAACCAGCGCTGCCAACACGACAAAACACAATACCCGACGACACCCCGTTCCCGCCGCAGGCCGGATCAAAAAACCCAGCATCGGCGACAAAGATGCACCACTGCCCACACAGTCTTTCCGCCGCAGGCGGGATGACAAACGCCAGAATCTAGTATAATAATAAAAATGTAACTAAGATTTACATTTCGTTGAACGAATAATAGCCATAGATAGTAGGTACTAAGAACGCGCGTCAACACAAAGTATCTACATTGATTATTGTGATTACGTATAAACAGTAAACACTACACAGTAGGTATACTGTTTGTTCTTCGCGCCGCACCTACTTTTCTATCGCGGTTTGCGGCAACGACTTGCGGTGTGTTGAGATGTGAAAAGGTTACCCAAGTATAAATAATGATGAATAATAGATAAACTCCAAATGCGCTAGGCGCATAACTATTATAGTAGGTAACAACAACTTAGGTACCTACATAAAACAAGATATTATAAAATACTAACAGACAGGGCGCCCCAAAACATAACAAATTAACAATCAATTACAACGTCAGTCCGCCGTCGGTGATCGGTCCACTTGATGGATGTTGATGGATGGGCAACAAAACATCGGCGGCACACAATGAACGGCAACGAGCCAGCGGCGGCACGAAATGAACGGCACGCAATGGGGTCTAGGACTTTTCAGCGCTGCCATTTCGGCGATAGATATTTTCAGCGCTGCTGTTTCGGCGATAATGACAAAATACATATTATAATGAAAATTATTTTTAGTATAAAAAAAATTAAAAATTGCACTATAAAAATGCATTTAAATTATTTTTATTAGAATGATAATAATTAAAATAATATAATATAACTTATATAGTCAAATATTTAGATATAAAATAATATAGATTAAAAAATTTTGCAGGTACATTAGTAAAAAATAATAATATAATAATAAATAATAATAATATAGTCAATTAATGTTAATTAATGCTTATACAATCATAGTCAAATATTTAGATATAAAATAATATAGATTAAAAAATGTTGCAGGTACATTAGTAAAAAAATAATAATATAATAATAATAACTTAGTCAATTAATGTTAATTAATGTTTATACAATTATAGTTAACATTTTATTTCAACGCTATATTATTTGATATTCCCCTGATAAAAGTTGGAATGTCATTTTTATCGTATCTATCAACTAGCTGATAAATACGATTGTCTGTGTCTCTAAACTTTTTTAACTTTTTCCGTTGACTATTACCCGTTACCAAATGCTCATACTGTGTATCCGTTCCTGCTTGTATTTTAAGTAATGTGCTTATGAAAGCCCAAATTGTAGGTTTGTTTGCCATTAACTGATTTAATCTTCTATTCGCCGCTTCAGCATGGTTATTTGTACGGTCTTTATTTGTTAATACACGTTCGTATAAATTCCACATTGCCGGAGAAAATCGCGCAGGCCGTCGACCTTCACGACTACGATTTTTCCGGCCAATATAAAAGTCTTCGAACCAATCTAATATATCTATTAGTTCCTCGGGTAAACTTTCTGATAAAATATCTAGCGCATCATCAAGATCTGATATAGGAACGAAAGCTAATGCGATAATACTTTTTACTTGTATGCAAAATTCTGGTTCATTTTTACAACGAGTTATTAAAAAATGTAGCTCACCTAATTTAGATCGAAAGTTTTGACATAAGTGAAAATAACATCCAAATATTTGTACATTAGGGAATGCATCTTTTATAGCTGTAAAAGCAGCAAGCTCGAAATCACAAGAAATTGAGTCTGGATTTAAATCTGGTTCAAGCGTTTTTAACATATTTAATAATTTTTCATAAACACTAGCTTTTTTGGTTGGAAGTAGTGCATATATTATCGGGTGTACACCAGGGGCGTCATTTCAACTTTTTTTTTGTTGGTGCGAAAATGTTTGCAGGCCATTCAAATTGTTACCAGGCCACATAGAAAACTTTTTTTTTTCTTTAGTGGGGGGGTCTAGTGGGGACAAAAACTGTAGAATATTTGTAAAATGTATTTAATACGTCACTTATATTGGTATGAAAACTTCACAATATTATTACTATTTTTGAAGAACTATGTGTAGGTACTTTTAATAAGTTTATATTATATTGTGGATGCCAGTTGTATTTGGTAAGAAAATTTATTGATATAAAGCACCTTAATAGTATTTAATCGAACCTAACCTATACATTTTTTCTCCCTGCACACTCAAAATAAATAATATAGCTAAACGCCTAAACCTGAAATTTGTTTTATGGGTTACCTTGTTCAAAATGGCACAATATACTTAATTCATATTTCTAAATTTTTCCACATCTAATTTTAATTTAACAACTTAAATTCAATTTAATAACAAATCATTTAGTTACACAAATAAAAACATTTATTATCATAAAGCAATAATTACTTAATACATTACATATTATATTACATTAGCGGATATCTTCGACTTTTTAACTTTGAAAATGAATCTACAGCATCATTTAGATTGATTTTATTGGCCTCTTCTTTCTCCACACTAACCACTAATAAGTCACTTAAGCGCTCATCTCCCATGGTTGATCTAATATAAGACTTGACTCTTTTAAGTGAGGAAAAAAATCTTTCATTAGAAGCCGTACTTATAGGTAAAGTTAAAACTAAAGATATTATTTTTAATGTTTCTGAAAAAGCAACTGGAAAATTTTTTAAACAGGAAATAATGTCATTTAAATTCAAATTGGTTATATTTTTTTTAAGAATCAAGGATTTTGCAGAAGGAAATTCGGATAACATTTTAGACTCATTAAATTGAAAATAACTATAATGGTTTGTAAAGATTATTAAATGAGGGCAGTTAGGATTAAAAAAAATTATTGCTGGATGCATCAAAAATTTCAAACAGCTTAAACAAATCTTTGCTTTTCTCAGAAAATGTTTCATTCAGCTGTTGAAGAAACCTGAAAAAAATCATGTTTATGTTATTAAATCAAAAACTAAACCACAGAGTTGAAATATCTACTTTATGAATTTGCATTTACATTTAAGAAAGGGATTTAAACAACATTCATATAAATAAATAAAGCAAGTAAATATATTTCTACACAGTGTTGGATAGGAAAAGTACAAACACACACAATTTTAAAACTCTTCTTATAAAATTCTTACCTGTCAATGCAGCAATAAAAAACTTCAGTTTTAAAATTTTTCACTTTAAGAGATTTCATTGATTCACATTTTCCAGTAGTACTCATTACATAATATTCTTCAAGTTTCTTAGATGGTTGCAGTTTTCTTCTAAGACGAGTATTTCTTTCTTGTTCCTCCTCAACTGTTATACCAAGGCCTAAAGCATGTGTTTTAGCTTTGTTATATAATAGTGAATAACTTGCATCTGATCTTAGTTCTGTTAATTCTTTTCTTGTTAAATCGACTAGATCCATAGCTGCTGGTAATAAGATTTTTGGGTTTTGTAACTCACACGATAAACAATGAATGGTTTTTCCATAATATGTAATACTAACACAAATCGAAATGTTGATACTTCTTTAAGTAAGCCTAAAGCTTTTGCTGGTTGATCATCTTGCAGTTAAAACTTTCAATACATCTAATATTTCTGTAATACGCATTTTTATTTTTTGTAGAGAACTATGCCAGTAAGACCATCTAGTTTCCACAAGTCGTTCTAAATGGATTGCTTTTAAGTTTTTATCCTCTTGAACTTTCATAAAAATTTCATAACGAGTATGTCCATTCATTAAGTACTTATACAAAGACTGGACTGTATCAAAAAAATTAACCACAATACTGTTGTTTTGAATAGAATGAATTAAACAAAGGTTTAGTCGGTGAGCATAGCAATGCACAAATATAGCTTGTGGTACTACATCTGTTATTCGTTTTTGTACTCCCGAGAACACTCCACTCATAACCGATGCTCCGTCATAACATTGAGCAATGCACTTGTTGATATCTAAATTATTTTCTATCACAATTTTTTGGATTTCTTGACTAAGAGTTAAAGCATTACATTTAACCATGTGGTAACAACCCAAAGCTTTTTCAAAAACATTAAACTCATTGTCAACAAACCTGATTACGAATGACAGCTGTTCTTTTTTACTAGTGTCTTTAGTTTCATCCACAAGAATAGAAAAAGCACCAATTGGTGGAATTTGTTTAATTATGTTTGACCTTGTGATAGAAGCAATAATTTTAATACAATCGTTCTGATAATCAGGAGATGTATAATGCCCATATCTGGATTCTAGTTTTAATTTAATATTATCATCACAAAACATATTTAAGAGTTCAATATAATTTCCACGGTTAGATGATTCTTTACTCTCATCGTGTCCTCGGAATGGTATACCTTGTTTTGCTAAGTACAAAGTAGTTTTCAATAAGTAATAAACATGTTGACGGTTATCTTCAACTTCTTTCTTTCGAGAATGTATTATGCCACTTGCAACAGAAGAATAACTTTTATTACATTTTAAATTTAAAAACATAGTATACTTTTCAAAGTTTAGCTTATGATAATTAGTCTTTTCATGGTATTTAAAGGATTCTGCTTGTTTTTGCCAACAGTTGAATCCTTTATTTAAAAATGTTCGTTCAAATTGTGGTCCATTAGTAGATGTAAAATGTCGACAAACAAAACAATACACCTGGTCTTTTACAATTGAATACTCAATCCAATTGAAATGTTTGTACAATTTTGAATTGAACGCTCTTTTATTTTTATTTTTGGGAAAACTTGCAAGTAGTGGTTGTTTTGGTCTATCATACTTAGAAATTGATAAATCAGAAACCTGAAAATATATGGTTTTAATGTCAAGTTATGATAAAAAATAAAAAACTCACCGAAGAATCAGTAGATTCAGTGTCACATTTTGTTGATTTGTTGAAAACAATAGTCTCATCTTTGTTTTCAAAAATATTGACTTCTTCATTGTTCAAACAATTACTAATATGTGTAGCAGGACACTCCATAGATTGTGCTAAATTATCAGATTTCTACATAATATAAAGAATTATATCATATTATTATATTTGTTTAAAAACAAATACATTATATATATATATTTGATTACTGTCTTTATGTACCTATTTTTTGTGTAGGTTAGGTACTCAATTAAAAATGTGTATAGGTACATATTTTATGATTAATTGTTTTTTTTTTATTTTGTCATTCAGACTGTATTAATATTAATTATGTAACAACTTAACACAACAAACTAACAAAATACTTAGTTAAGACAATTAAGTCCATAGTTTGTAGGTATTTAATTTTGGTTGAGATTTTAGTGTCTAAAATTAGTGAAATTACATAATGTCCTTAAAATCTTAGATAAAATACCTAGTTGATATTTACTGTCGAGCCTTAATGAACAATTATGTATATTAAAAATAAAGACTGACCTCTTGATTAATATCCATAGATTTGGTGTCACATTCTATTGATTTAACAACAGTCTCATCTATTTCTTCCTTTTCAAAAAATTTGCCTTCTTCATTGTTCAAATAACTACTAATATGTGTGGCAGGACTCTTCATAGATTCTGCTAAGCTATCAGATTCCTAGATAATATAGTGAAAAATTAAGTAAAATTTAGTAGAAAAATGTATGAATACATTTTAGTCATACTTACAAAATTATCTGGTTTTTGCTTTTCAGATATTGTAGAAAACATACTTAATAAACTATGACAGATTGAACCAGCTGTTAATAAAAGCTTTTTATTTTTTTCTCTTAATCGAGCTGCACCTCCTTTTCTTTTTTGTTCATTCATATTAGAAAATACTTAATACACTCGTAAAATTAAAAAAAAAAAAACTTTTAATAATTAATGATAATTTATCAGTTGAATAAATATTTATAAAAACAAAAATATAACATTAATATATTTATAGAAACTGAAACCACTAAACGGACTAAAATACTGACACTTGGCGGTTGTCGGGTAGTATAATATTAAATATTAAGCAAATATTATTATTATTATACAATATATATTATTAAGTATTTCACTTCTTTCTCGATCACGACTAGAACAATCATACTCTCGACGTACTAACTAAAATTGGTGGTAGAATTTCTACCATGGAATATCATTTCTACCGTAGAAAGTAAGTGACAACTGACAAGGGGAAAAATGTAAACAAATAATATTCTGTGGTTGCTATTTTTAGACAATTTTTTCCCTTTTGATGGGAATTATGTATCATGTTGTTTTCTTATTATAACGAGTAGGGAGATACCGGAGCGTGATAAGAAATCTATACCAGCATAATATTATACCCACAGATATTTATATATTCGATGGTAATAATATCATGGTAGAGAATAAAAAATATATATAACCCATAGACATAATTATTAATTATATTATTATTATTTTATATTATGTCTATGATATAACCACACAACCACATCGATCTTTTTTGGAAATAAAACTCATTAGTACCTATAAAATTTATTATTTTTTTTTAAATACTGAAAAAATATAAAATATATTATATAATATATAATTAATATATAACACTTAGGTATATCGGCGCTTATATTTATTGTTGGCAGGCCAAAGAAGGCGTTTATAAAAAATGTTGGTGCAAATGTACACCCTGCACCCCCCAAATGACGCCCCTGGTGTACACCTCCTAATGCTTCTGCCAAAATAACATAAACCTGGGAAAATAACAATGGAGCAATTCTAAAAGTACCGTCACAGTACCAGGTTCGGGAATTTTTTAATATTTTTAGTCCACTAAGTCGGCCAAATATTAAGACCCTATCTGATTCCTGCCCACTATCTGCTAATAAGAACTGTTCGTTTATTCCATCATTTGGCGAGTAAGTTTTATATATTTCGGGTAACTGTAGAGTTTTTAAATCTATTAGTGCCGCTGGAGATGAATTTACTTCATTCCGTTTTCTCCTAATCATTTTTCGTAACGCTTCATTATTTTGAAGGATTCCCTAAAAAGATACAAACTACGTAGTAGAATGGCCCTATATTTATTTATGCTGAATATGTATAGGCATATCGCATATCTTATATAATGTATTGTTATGTTTATTTATTTTTATATAAATATATTTTGAGGTACTTACTTTTGCTGACTGTGTTAATCCGTTAACACATTCATTTATTATAGTAGAAGTTGTCTCCATCGTTTCAATTGCCCGTCTTTTCATTTTAGTGACTACAATTTCAGCTTCGATTTCTATAGATTCAGAATCGTGGGTGTGTTCTTTTGTAGGGAGTTTGATAATCTCTAAATTATCTAATGAAGTATGCACCCTTGCTGGACAAATATCTTTTCTTCGACATCTCCAAAATTTAACTTGACTATTCGCACTTAACTTATCGAAAATGTACATATAACCATCGTGTCTTAAAATTTCACAATTACGTTTTGATTCAATCAATGTCATTTTCACTGCACGTCGCACGACACAACACTACACACTGTTATACACTTCACACATCAGTGTTAAAATTTATTTTATCATATTTAGGCCTTTCCGATCAAATTATCGCCGTCATATACCTATTGCCCTATTGGCTATCATTTATTATTATTTTTATTACACCATACATGTATACATAGGTACAAGTTTTATTTTATCATAGCTAGTAGTAATAGTAACCAATTAGTACTGTGAGGTAGGTACCTATAATATCACTGTAATAAATTGTATTATCTCGACTGTCACGACCCGCGATAGCATTAATTCGCCTGGCGATCGTAACGACAATAATGTGTTTGCCGATCAGTTGTCATCCGTAGTCTCTCGAACGTTGTACTATACCGTCCACCGAAGATCATTATTGTGTATAATACAATAAAACACTAACCAATTTAAAATAAAAGTATACAGTCCACTTTAAATATCGAACATGTACGTCCAGAACTAAACAACAAATAAATACTATAATAACAATACTATAAAAATAAAATATAAACTTTTTTTCCAATTTTTTAGTTATTAAAAATAATTTAAATGCATTTAGTGCAATTTTTAATTTTTTTTATACTAAAAATAATTTTCATTATAATATGTATTTTGTCATTGTCGCCGAAACGGCAGTGCCGAAAAGTCCCATTCCCCACGCAATTATATAAGCGGCGGCGCGCAATAAACGGCAACAAGCCAGCGGCGGCACGCAATAAACGGCAACGAGCCAGCGGCGGCAAGGTATAACGGTGACACAAAACCACGAGGTTTAACAACGCGACGACTTAAAACAGAAACGCATCGGTTGTAGGAACATGTGGTTTGGTCACCAAAACCCAGTGAAACGCGGCGAGCGAACGCAACGATGCGTCGTGCTCGACCACCTGGAAAAGACACACGACTTCTGGCGGCACAGCTTACGGCGGCGAACGGCCCGGCGCTGGACGGCCATGGAGGGGGTAAGCCACCTCGTGAGCT